CGATGTGTGATAGCTCTGACTAGTGGTTGTAGTGGTTAGTGGTGGTAGCAGTAGAGTGTGGGTCGGTGGTGAGTGATTAGTGGCGGAGCTAGTAACATTTGCCGACGACGGTGATTGGTGACAGCGACTCTAGTAGTCGTTGACGATCAGGCGGGCAGCGATGACTGGCCATGGTGGCAGAAGTGGCAACGGACAATAACAATGACGATGCATTTATGGACAATAACAATAGCAAATCATTCTTAAATTATGTTTAATTATAAATCAAGTGTTTAAAATATTATTCCAATTTATTTAACTACTTCAATACATTAATAAAAATATCAATAAAATACAATAATTTAATTACTTATAATCCTCTAGACAAAGAATATACCACAGAGTTGACATCCCTAATTAACTCTACACCAATCCCATCATCATGTGCAATCAGTGTTGAACGGCTAAATTTCTACCATTTATTAGCTGAATCAGTGCCATAAAAAAATATAAAATTCACATTCTAAGGAATCCAAAGCTGATGGCCAGCTTGATAATTGTAACACACATGTTATCCAATTATTATTATGGTTGGTTGTCACACCATGAACAAGGGAGGGCTCACATGCACAGGCATTATGAAATAATGGAAGACATAAAGCTGAGGGAATCTCATGTTTCTTTGTATTTTTACCCTCTCTAAATTCACTTCTAATGGAGCTCTTGCATTTACCCTACCTTCTTTAGCTGGTAATCTATGTCCTTTTTTTTGCCTTTGTTAAGCTAGGGCTACGCCTAACATTTTGTCGCTGTTGTTGTTGCTGCAGATGTTGATGATGTTGTTGTTGTTGTTGTTGATGATTTTGCTCGATCGGAACATCTTCATCCCATGTTGTTGTCATGCATTGCTGATATAGTCGTATGGCTACGACTAACATGAACACTAAACCAATGCACATGACAAAGATGAATTATTGAGATTTTTTTATGATTAATGGTTTTACGATCAAATTGGAGGTAAAAAATAGATTAATTACCGGACCAGATTCGGGCAATAGTGGATGATAGGTTCCAAATGAGTGTGAAGATGGCAGCGACTATTGCTTTCTTGTGTGTGCATGATTCCCAGCCGTCTCGAAATCTTTCTAGCCAAAATTTGCCTAAATTTAAGACGAAAAAGAATAATAATGTCGTGTGAAAGAGGATCAATATAGTAAAATAAATTTGTGAAAAAATGTATGTCAGGCTATTCTACCTAAAAGTTGAATCTTAGATCTACTTTAAGATTAGTGAATATAGTACATAAATAATTAATTAAATGCATCATGATCAAAATTTTGATTGGAATATTTTGACTCAATTTTTTTTAGCATGTGATTGTAATAGACAAACTAAGGAGATGAGAGTTTATCATTATAAAAAGAGAATTATAAATGTATACTTTTAGTGATAAATATCAATTATCAACAAATTTAAGAAATAATATTCCTTGCATGTTGTGGGGTAATATTTTTTTTTTCTATGGGAAGTTTTTTTCTTGCACTAAAAAAAATTTAAATTAAAATTCTTTTTGATAATACATGAAAAAGAGGATCACTTTTTTTTTTTTCAGGGTCACATTGTATACATCCATTTGTTAAAAAATTTAATGTCAGGTATATTCTATCCTAAGAAGTTTGAACTTAGATCTACTTTGAGATTAATATATATAATACATAAATAATTATAAAATGCATCATGAGCAAATTTGTTAGAATATTTTGACTCAAAATTTTTTTTGATTTAATTTTTTATCATTATAAAAGAGTTATGAAATGCATACTTAGAGATTAATATTCAATTATCTCACGATTTAAGAAATATATTCCTTGCTTAGGTTGTGGTGTGGCTTATGTTATTTTTTTTTTGTTTTGTTTTTTTATTTTTTCAGTTATTATTCTATAGTTTTTTTTTATTTATTTTTTATTCTTACTTCTTTGTGGTAAAATAATATTTCATTATTGTAAGAATATCATTAATTTTTTTGTTATTTGTTACATTTTTTGCTCTTTGAAAGCAGGAACTTTGTTTGTTGCGATGTGACTTGCTGATTATTAATAAAAATAAATTAGTAAATTCCTTTTTGATACAAATTAATTAATCGATTTTTTTAAAATATTATACCCAAGAAGTAAGAATTGAAATATATATGTTATTAAACATACTTGAATATTCTATATGCTGGCTTTGTAAATATAAAGATAAAAGAAAAGATGAATTTTCATTCTTTTAATATTATAATATAACAGAAATAAATGCCGCTTAACCGTATCGTGCCCAGCGCAATGGAATAAGACGACAAGAACTTTTGGTACGAGGGTTGAAGACTCCAAAAAAACGCTGGCAGCATATCGCAACAACAACGTCACAGATTACGCACACTATTTCCCTTCTCACTAAAGATGAAAGCAGAGGCATTCTTCTACCGGGATATTGAAAATGTTTCACTTTTTTCCCGAAAAAAAATTAAAATGTTTATGTTTTTGGACAATAAAATAAGTAAAATTCTCTATATTATTTTAATTTTTTTAGGTTATAAATTTAATGAGTTCTTTTTAAACAATTTTTTTTAAATTTCTTTTTAATATTAACTTTTAAGCACAATTTTTTTTTTAAAAATTTATAAATTTTTACACTGAAAATTAATGTTAAAAAAATTAAAAGTCTATCTTTTTTTTATTTATATTATAAAAAGTATATTAACTTGCAGTCTAATTTTTAAAATAAAAAATCAATACAATTTAGATTTTATTTTGAGTCAGATTTCTTTATTACTTCTAAATGTAAAATTTTTAGCTAAAAAATTTTGGTTAAAGCAGTCGGCAAAAATTATCCTGAAGAACCTTATTCATAAAATTGCTTTTCACTATAATTTTAAGGATGGTATCAAGGTATGCATTCTCTACATATTTATATCTTAGGTATCTTAAATTAACTCTTAAAAATTTATTAAAATTCTTATAATTAGTCTAAGGAAAGATAAGGTTGTTTCTATAAGTTTTGTTTAAGCTTGTGTTATAATCTTTTTTTTTATGTAAATAGTTTTATATTAAATTAAAAAAACGAAAAATAAGCATCATTCCAAAAAAAAAAAATAATGCTGCAAAAATTACCCAGCTTGGCCAAAGTCCACAAGGTAATGGAGCTTCCACACCTGCCCATAACGAACAAAAACACTGCCATCTGCCACCACAGCAAAATTTCTCAATCTTTTTAGAAACGTGCAGAAGAGCACTGTAATGGAGCAGAGCACAGCAGAAGAGTGCAAGAAAACAAACAGATCCTGCATTGCTGACCTTCATGGTTGTCGCTGGGTCACCTGAAAACAAGGCTCTGGTTCTTAAAAGAAGCTCATTTAAGTAAGGAAGGATTCTTCTTACAATCCAAATGGCTTCTTCTTCTCCCACCAAGTTGTAGCTTCCATCGCCCTCATCAAACTCCACGGCCTCCTCTCCCCTGCAACATAGAAAATTAAGATTTTGCTTTGGGAGATCTCTTTATTGTTCATGGAGCATCATACTTTACCTTCGCAGAATGGATCTAAAGATAAAGATTGCTGCGAGATACAGAAGACCCAAATATGAAATCACAGAAATCAAGCTGCAATAAGAAGAATTGAAACAAGTTGGCGATATAGAAATGAGAAAGGGGGATTTGTTTTCTTGAATGGCGAGGAAGGTATAAGTAAACCTGAAGTTGAGATCTTTAGCATAGGAAGAAGAGACAAGGACAAATGTTCCGAATCCAAAAGCAAAAGCAGTTTTTGATATATCTCTCCACATTACTAAATCAACTGAACAAAACAGCAATTTTTTTTTGTATTTCATTTGTAAGCCAAATATTTATAAAGTTTGTAAGATCTGTCTGTCTAATGGAGGCAGATACCAACCAATATGTTGCATCCTGTTTGAATTCCCATAGCTGGTCTCAAGCAAAATTTCCTCTTCTTCTCCTTCTTCTTCTCCTAAACAAGAAAAACGAAGACGAGGTTTCAGGAATTAGATCGAAAGAAGAAAAGAAAAGATAAAGATCTCACCTTGACTCAGTGCGACAGGATCTGGGTCCTTCTCTCTGAGATCTTCCACATAAGAAGCCTTCTTCTCAGACTCAGGCGATGGAGATACCTGTGTTTCATGAACTTCTTCAATCTTCTTCTCTTTCTCCACAGGCAGATCCATCTCCTTATCATCAAAGCTCCTTCTCTCCTCCTCCACTTCTATCACAACGGCCTCATCTTCTTCCTCCTCCTCCATCTCCTTCTCATTCCCCTGCCCACCACAAATAAGCAACACACCCTTCTCTTCCTCTCCCCTCTTGCAGCCAATTTCAATTGACCGCGCCTTCCTGAGCTGAATTGGGCTCCTCTGCGGTTCAGGTTCCCTCCAGCTCTTCCTCTTCTTCTTCTCCGCATCGACGCCATCGCTCTGGTTTCTTCGTAGCCGCCTGTAAACCCGCAGCCCCTCCTCATCATCGCGGCTCTCTCCGGCGGTATTGAACACCTTGATTCCTCCCTTAACTTCATCCATCTTCATCCTCGTCTCCCAAACAGAGCCAGCCATCACTCCATTTCTAATTATAGCCCTTCTTCTACTTGCTGGTTGCATGATGATCACTCTGCTTCTTCAAGTTACCTTCCCCTGTATCCTTCAACAGATTTAGAAATGAACGGTGCAATGAGTGGAGAGAGAAGTATTCTTCTACGGGACCATTTTCTCAGCTGCTTTCTACTTTTCCATTTGTTTGCAAGAAGAAGGCTTTTACTGCGAGGTAGGTGGTAAAGATGCAGAAGAGGTGGGGTGTTAATCTAATTTTAAGAAAGTATTATGAGAGCGGACTTTGCTTTAATTGATGATGATGATTAATGGCTTAGGCTTCGTTTGGAATAGCTTTCTTAAAAGCTTCTTTTTAGTACCAAATTTTTTGCTTTAAAAATAGTAAACGAAATCTTAGGGAAGTGCTCGCATGAAAAGTGGCTGCCAAAATTAAGGGCTGTAGTTTAATGTTTTCTGTGCTGTTGCATGTGAGCCACGAAAGATGATGGAATTACTTTGTCAATTGAGGATAACATTTATTTTTTTGCTAGAATCCAATACACATGTATGTGGTTTTTTTTCATGTGAACAGAACTCTTAAATTTTAGTTAGTTATTTAAAAAATTAATATCATTTACATTCGATTTTAAAATTATGACTAAAATAATAAAATTTGTAATAAAATGTGAACTCTAATTTTTGCTTTGGCAAAAATCCCTATAATTTGACTGTAATATACAGAAATATTTGAATTTGGTGGGTATAAAATATAAAAAATATGCATCTCTTCTTGGTCTGTTGATTGGGAGCTTTAGATACTAATCAAAAAGTCTTGAGTTTGAAGCTTGTGTATGTGATGTGTGTGTAAAATAGGTTGACTTAAATGACGCAAATGTAAAAAATAAATAAATAAAATAATAAAATAAGTGTGTTATATTTATAAACAAATAAATTTTAGATATTATGTATATAATGTTGCCTGAAAAATTATCTTTAATTTAGGGGATGTTTGATTTGCTGAGAAATGAGTATAGAATAAAAGAAATGCAGAAAATTTTCAAATTTGAGTTTTTGACTTGATGGAAAAAAAAAACATAATTTAAAGAATGCATTTTTAATTCGTTGTTCATATTTGGTGTAATTTAAATTGAATTAGTTTTGACTGAATTTTTTTTTTTCATAATAAGCTAGCAGTATTGTCGTTGCTTACCGCCGGTCACTGCTCACTGCTGATGTCAGTGCCACCACAAGGAGCCCCATATTGTTGTCGATGCTGATCGCCGTTGGCCTCCTCTATCATTTTACTTTATAATATATCAATTTACTTTCATATATATATTTTTATGGGACGGCTTTTGATTGCTAACTTTTTCACTATTTTCAATAATTTTTTTTCGCTAAAAAGTTGAAGTAATAAAAAATGGTTGAGATGAAGCCTTAATCACCATTGGATGTCTAAATTTGCTTTAGTTGGGGATGGAACATAAATAATTAAAAAGCATTTATTTACATAATTAACACAGATGAAAGATGTTATAATTCATTCTCAGAAATATTTTTTTAATCTTAGAAAGCTCCATCAAGTACTTGGAGTCTTGGTCCAAACCAAAACACCATGCATATATAATATTAAGATTAGATATAATTTCTCATAGATGATTATAAATTTATATTAAAAAGAAATTCCTAATAAATTGAGAGCTCAACCACCATCTGATTTTGGAGAAATTTTTACGTGTGGACATCGGATGTTACTCTAGGCCCGGTATCTGCAGGTAATAATTTCTCTTGATTTTGATGGTTTGAGATACTCTATAAAAGAAAACCTAATAGTCATAATGGACTCATAGGTAATGATGGAAGGCATGTGGTTGTTACAAAAAAAAGCAAATGGTTGTTATCCAATATTATGACAGGTAGGTTGTGACAATAGAAAAGGATAAACTTAGGATCTGTTTGGGTTGACAGCAACTTTTTGTAAAGTTAATTATAAAGCTGTTATGAAGAAAAAAACTTTTTGAAAGATAGTGTAGAATTAGCTTCCTAGTAAATTTAGAAAAAAACTTCTTTTCTGAGGTTATCAGAAGACTTCAATATATCTCATGAATGTCGATAAATTACTAAACTACGTCAAAAAATTTTATGTTCCTATATTTATGTTATTTTTTCTTCCTTGAATTTGGAATGGAGATGCTTTCCTTTTGATGAATACTTTTATGTCTTTGTTGTTTCACTAAAAATGAAATAACAAGACAAGAAAACATTCATTCATCATCTCCTTAATTTTCATCTCACTGATATGACAAATATAGTTAAGAAAATCAAGTGTTGATAGAAATTCTAACCTCAAAAGGCACCCTCTAAAAACTCTCAAAATTAACTTTTAATGGGTATTTTTGAATATATGTTTTAGTTTTGCACAAATTGTAATGGTTCAGTGTCCATTTTTGTTGAATAAATTAGGGAGAGATTATCAAATATTTTAAAAAATTGTAGAAAATTTATTTATGATAAAAAATATATAGTCACTCATAGGTAAATAAATCAATGAATATTATAAATATGAAGTGCAATACATTTTATTAATGGGTCATTTGGCTGGATGAAAAATGAATTTAGAATAAAATATAATATTGTATAAAATAAATGAAGTGTATTTGAAATATTTGGAGTTGTTCAGAGATGAGTGTAAAATAAATGTATGTGATTATTTTTTGTTTGGCTTCAATTAGATGAATGCAATGTAAAGCCAACTGAAGGTTGTGTTAAGTGGTTTGCAGGCTAGATAGGTGGTCCGTGTGAGATGGCTAGGGACGGTGATGGTGGTGGCTACAAGAGGAGGCTGCCGACAACGATGGTGATAGTCGGAGGTGACAATGGGTGGTGCCCGATGGGGAGTTGTAGGTGGCAGTGAGAGTCAGGTTGTGTTAAGTGGTTGGCAGGCTATAAAGGTGGTCCGTGTGAGATGGCTAGGGACGGTGATGGTGGTGGCTACAAGAGGAGGCTGCCGACAACGATGGTGATAGTCGGAGGTGACAATGGGTGGTGCCCGATGGGGAGTTGTAGGTGGCAGTGAGAGTCAGAGGTGGCTTCAGAAAGTGAAGGATGACATGCCGGTGACCAGCAATCTGCGACAAGCGATGACAATTATTGCAAATAATTTACAATGTATTTGAAAACAGCCAAATATACTAATTTCAAAATACGCCAAAATAGAACTAGGGTGAATTACAAATATACTAAAACTTTACTTTGCATTTCTTTTATTATAGACCAAACACCATTAATTTCGAAACCATTGGGTTTAAAATACTTTACATAATTTTACTTCAAACCAAACACGCTCTAAATATGATATAGTTTTCTCATTAATCCTATCTAATAGATAATTTTTATAAAATTAAAAATGTACCAAAAAAAACTCCAAAACCTATAATCATCATTCTTTACACCTTGCTTAATTTGACTTAATTAATTTATAACAAATAGCCTAAAAAAATACCCTCACCCCCCCACACACACAAAGTCACTTCGACTGATCCTATCACAGTCTTACTAAGTTCTTCACTTGGGTATATTTTTAAGTGAATAGAACCCCATGCTATAATCTAGTTGATAAGATAATAATCTCTTCGTTTGACAAACTGAATTATCTTTAAAATATGAATTTTACAAATTATTAAATGCAATCATTTAAGATTTATTATAATCAAATCTTTAATAAATTTACGCTAACTCAAATATATTAGAATTTTAGGAAGTTCTATAAAATCTTGCTGAGGGCTAGAATATATGCGGTGATAGAGTTATAATATTGCGTCTTAGCGTTGTACGGATACTCAGCTCACACATAGAGAATACAAGATATTTTACGTGGAAAACCCTGAAAATGGGAAAAACCACAGAGCCTTCCCCAGTTGAAATGATTCCACTAATGTTTATGTATATTACAGTGGGCTATCTCGCCCTTGAGGGTGATCAGATTACAAGTGTCAACCATATGGTTGAAGTCAAGGGTAGATGAAAGTCTGATGACGCTTGGTGGTCCAGTGGAAGTCTAATATCAGTTAAAAGTTCAACGTTATTCGGTAGTTCGACGATGGTTTGATAGAAGTCTGGCTTCAGGAAATGGTCCGATGGAACTCCGGGCTTAAAATGGTGGTCTGGCAAAACTCCGAGCCTCAAGTGGTGGTCTAACGGAACTCCAAGCCTTAAGTGTTGGTCCGGTGGGACTCCGGCATCAGGTGGTGGTCCGACAAAACTATGGGCGATAGGTGGTGGTCCAGTAGAACTTTGGGCCTCAAGTGATGGTCTGGCGAAACTCTTGCATTAGGTGGTGGTCCAGCGAAACTTCAAGCATTTGTCGAGGAGAAGCTAGGGGGCAAGAGCGATCTCCAATTTCTCTCTTGCTCTCTTTCTTAGGGGTTCCCTTTCAAGAGGGAGGAGTGGTCTATTTATAGATTTTCAAGAGTGACATGACCCGTAAATAGGAGGAGATCAAGGGTAAATGGGGAGTGGCTTGGATGGACGGCCGATATTGAATCCCCTGATCATGGACCATTTGCTAGACATTTGAAGGTCTTAATGATGTCGAAATTTCGTTATCTTGGGCTTGTTGGATTCTCGTCGAGTCGCTCGATTCGACTATAAGCATGTCATGTTTGGAAACCATTTAGTAATCCAAATTGTGGTTGGACCTTCAAACAACACTTCGGGCCCTTGATTTGAACCCATTTGGGCTCGAGTTGAGTCAAATTTGGTGTTGTAGAGTTCGTATTTCCGAGACGTACAGTTCGATTATAAGTTTGTTGAAATCAAAGTTCGGATGATCCCAATTTTAATTTTGAAAGTTTTAAACCTGATTTTGCCCCGAGATTCATGCCCGATCATGATAAATTTTTGATGATGTATCAAACCTAAATTTTGTAAATATGTCTAAAGATTTGTTTGGGACGGCTTTCTTACTATTTCTTAAAGAAGCTTTTTAAACAAAAAGCAGTAAGAAAATTATCCCAAATAAAGAGGATTCATTTGAGATGACTTTCTTACTATTTTCTAAAACAATATTTTAGTAGTAAGAAAAATTACTATAGAAAGTAGTAAGAAGGCGGTTCCAAATAAACTCTAAGGTTGAAATTAGGATAACCAGGTGTTTTAACTTTTAATATTCCCATAAATTTGTAAAATAGGGCAGTTAAAACTTTCAAGTATTGAAATTTAGTAGCATTAGAACATGAAAGTAAAAGCATTATATATTCTACCACTTTTACTGTTAAATTCTATGTGATTGAAGCACATTT